TGTCTGAGTCTGACGTGTTGAATGGTGTCTTAATTTGATAAACTAACACTCTTTTCGTAATCCACCACAGCACATGGTTATATTTATAGTGTAGGTCATAATATGCTGTATTATTAAGAAACTGTTTACACCATTAAAAATAAAATATTCAAAACCCCTAAAAGAAATCAAGTCATCCTAAAATGGTGGTCAAAACAGCTAGAGTTAAAATTTGTTTCTCCAAGCAACTCTATCATCGGCTAATATCTTAAGCTTATCAAGATCATTCAAAGAGTTAAGTTTTAAACCTCTACGGGTCAAATCATTCATAATAATCTTGAACAAATTCTTACGATGCGCACCGACGCGCCCTTTACAGTTTGTTGTGACAGCAAACTTTAACGCTAATGCAGCGGGGGAGTCATCCAGCACTACGCAAGATATGACCTAAGAACTTCCACCTTGCTTTAGGGACAAAATCTGATAGCTTTACTGAGTTACATCTTAGGTATAAGTTTGCATTGGATATTGTTCCATGAGGCCAATAAATGTTCAGTAATGATCTAAGGTGTTTTCTATGGCAAATGTCTAGTTTTTCTAGTGACTTTGCAGTAGGACACCAACTACTGCAATTATATATAATTAATATGCGGCAATTCAGTAGTGTGGCATAACACGGTTAAGGCACGGTTAAGGCACGGTTAAGGCACAGTTAAGGCACGGTTAAGGCACGGTTAAGGCACGGTTAAGGCACAAGGGTTACATAAGGCACGGTTCTTAAGGCACGGTTAACGCACGGTTAACGCACGGTTAAGGCACGGTTCAGGCACAAACTGCCCAAAAGCAACCATTATGGTCGCTTAAGGCACGGTTAACGCACGGTTAACGCACGGTTGGGGAACGCAGCAGCGTTTAGAGCTGCTGCTAGAGATTCTCCATCGTTGACACGGTCCAAGATTGATTTGTACTCTGTTTGTATTCCAGGCAGGGAGAATGTTCTCTTGCGAGTATTGGATCGTACTGGACCAGGAGCGGGATTGCCAGCGTTGAGAGGAAGTATCGGATTTTGAGCAACAAGATCCGAACCAGCATCATTGGAAGAGGTAGGCGGGGATCCAGATGGAGGTAAAGTAGGAGCGGTAGGAGCGGTAGGAGCGGTAGGAGCGGTGTTGGGATTGGAAGCAGGAACAATAGGTGTGGGAGGAGGAGGAGGTCTGGTAGGACGTACAGCGGTGGTACGAGAATTTGTAGGTGCAGGGTTGGATCTTGTCGGTCTGACTACAGGAGTAGCGTGTGTCTGACAGGGATCGACTACAACAATCATCTGATGACCCTCTAGGAGATGTTAACTTAATTTGAAGAGCTTTGTTACCTGAAGAGATCGTTAATCGAGATAAGGATTTCAAATATAGGACGGTCAAACGAAGCAGGGCTGTTGCTTTACAATTAGAAAATTTATTCATAGCGGGAATCGCACTGTAAAATTTACAGATCGTTAACCGTGCCTTAAGTGACCGTGTCTCAACCGTGCCTTATGTAACCCTTGTTCCCTAGCCGTGCCTTAGTTAACCACTTGTATGTTTATATGTTATATTTCCCCAACCGTGCGTTAACCGTGCGTTAACCGTGCCTTAAGCGACCATAATGGTTGCTTTTGGGCAGTTTGTGCCTTAACCGTGCCTTAACCGTGCGTTAACCGAGCGTTAACCGTGCCTTAACCGTGCCTTAACCGTGTTATGCCACACTACTGTTATTATGTAACCCTTGTGCCTTAACCGTGCCTTAACCGTGCCTTAACCGTGCCTTAACCGTGTTATGCCACACTACTGAATTGCCTAATATGCTGTATAATTAATATGCTGTATAGTGTATATATTTTCTCTTTCTATTTCTCTTTTGCTAGCTTGTACCATCCCGCTTTGTTAGTATGTGATAAAATATATAATAAATTTGAGTACCGCATAATGAATCATTGTGGGGGGAGGGAGGGGCCGTGCTGTTCTAAGATGTTAAATATTTTATCGGACTTCAAAATCGTTCAAATAAAGTCAGACAAGGTATAGTACATGCCGTTCATTTTAATGTGCATTCAAAATTATGTCCGTTCACGCAGTGTCCGGTCAAATAACGTCCGATAAGGTACGTTAAAAAACCCTTAAAACCTTTAAAAAATATCATGTCGAAAGAAATGAAACATGACTGGATGATGATAATCCGATTATCATCATCCATGAGACTCCACGACCATGAAAATTGATTCTATCATTGGGCTTTATATTGCCATGATTGGTTTTATAATACGCAGATTTTTGGAAATCAATACGTTTAATAAATGTTATATGCTCCTGTAGAGCAGAAGCTACTTTGTAAACCCACGGTATTACAAACAAACTCAGCTTTTTATTTGTACAGTCCCACCCTGTTATAGGTTCTGAAACTGGATCTAATTGTGTGAAGTGGATTGGATTCTGGTCGTTGAGATATGATCGCTAATTAAATAAACCCAGCAACTGATAAGCGAGCACCAATTTACAAACATTTATGGAACTGTTATTGCTAAATTGATCTAATTATACTGTGCTGATGAAAGTTTAAAATATTTGGCAACTATGAGCATTTTAATATTAATAACGATATTAATTCGATCATAAAAAATGCCATGTAATAATATCGAAGTTCCGTTATAAATATATTTACTTAAAAACGTCTTATCGGCTATGCAATCCAGAAAATTGTCTTTTTGTTAAAAATTAAGCAGCGTTATATATCATTCAGAAATCAACCTAATTACTATAATCAGATGAAGATACTAATCTAATAAACCGAACATACCAGGCACATCATTTTGGTGCCAACTTTGAGTTTGATCATTCTGGAAAGGAAATTTTACGCCACAAATTATGCTTATTGAGAGGATCTTCTATGACAAAACCTGAAACTAATGAATATCTTATCATTATCACAATTCAAATCTTTGATGTTTTCTTGTTTATTGCTAGCTGAGAGGCAATTTTTTACGACTATATGCGTTAATTTTGGTTACCGGCTTTATTTGATAGGCTCTGCGCGCGCGCATTACATGTGGCTCGCATCGAACAATCGCTATCGCGATGGCAATTTTTCGAATTACTTTTTTACTTTATATTTGCTGTTCTAATTTCAGTGAAGATTGAACATTTTTTATAAAAGAAATGTTCCATACGAAAGAAAATGTTCTCATGAAAAGGAGTTCCGACACTGTTTAACTTTATGTCTTAATTTTAGCACTTTATTGTATTTGATAGATTGCTGGGGACGTAATGAAAGTCCCGCAATCTTACGAAAAGTTTATAAAAGCCTTAGCTTTTATTGTTTGATCACTTCATTGTATTTGTCGTGATAAAAACTTAAGAAATGCACGATGTTTAGACTTCATTTTACTTCATTGCACTTTCATAGATTCTATAAGATTATAAGGATACGCCTTCTGATTTCTATTGTCATCCTCATCAAATAATTAACTGATGTTAAATAATAAATACGGTTTATTTATAAACTCTCACACTCTTGTCAAGGTTCTTTGTATTATTCGTCTGTTGCAATACCTTTTAATTTAATATAAGAATATAGTACATCATGGTGGCCCGAAAGTAACTGCCCACACTGCACGTACGTGTAACCCTATAGATGTGGATACTGGCGGGGAGGTGATAATTGTTTGTTTACATTAATAGTGAGCACATGTTAAGCAGGCTGAGGAGGTGATAATTGTTTGTTTACATTTTAGGTCGAGCACATGTTAAGCAGGCTGAGGAGGTGATACATATTTTGTATTATAGAAGGTTTGTAACACTTGTAACGCCTTCTTGTTACCCCCCTTTGAGTTAAGGTGAGGATTGTTACAGGATCAGAATGTTCGTGAGGAACAGTCACCAAAAGTGAGTTGCTTACCTGCTGTGTGTTTTCGTACTCTGGTCTTCACTCAAGTTGCAAAGCTGCAATAAACGTATCGCAAAGAACATTTATATCTGAAAATTGTGTTAGTACCAGTTTGGTCAGTTAAGGTGAGGATTGCCTCAATCTGTCGGGTTCAGCTTAACTGTCTAGGTCATGAGTAGAACCGAAGGATCAAAATATATGTTGCTTGTTGGTCGTATTAACTATAAAACATCAATTTTGAGGGATAAGGAAGTGTTTATAGGTTCTGAAACTTAGCTAAATCGATTTTTCGTGCAATTTTAGGTCAGAAACAGTCATCAAAATGAGTTAATAAGAAGGTCGATTTCTCGGTTATTTTTGAGCTTTCGTTCAGAAAATAAATCGGGGTCCTCAAAGGGGGGTAACAAGAAGGCGTTACAAGTGTTACAAACCTTCTATAATACAAAATATGTATCACCTCCTCAGCCTGCTTAACATGTGCTCGACCTAAAATGTAAACAAACAATTATCACCTCCTCAGCCTGCTTAACATGTGCTCACTATTAATGTAAACAAACAATTATCACCTCCCCGCCAGTATCCACATCTATTGCCTATATATATATTAATAATTCACGTAATTCGTGTCAGAATTGCACCAAAATTTCAGAAAATATAAATATGGGTCAAATTCAGATTTCCTGGAAGTTCTGTTAAATGTCATATATTACAGAGGGTGTGGCGCGTCACTTCTTCTTTTTCACTATTGTACGATTATTTTAGTTTTTATTTGACGCGTGTCCACTCTCCTCTTGACATTACGGCACATTATCATTTATGCGTATACTTAGACTTACAAAATGTCTAATGTCTATTGTGTACACCATATACTCACGGCCGATTTCATAATATTTCTTGGTCAAAATTTGCACCCGGCCATTTTTATCATATCAATAACAGTTGTTTCAGTAATTTGTATTAATCGTGTATCTATAAACGCGATGACTTTCTGTCATTTTTTGTCGATTCACTCGATACTCGAAGCTTATGCAAAAAGTAATGCGTCTTGGGCCAATTGCTGATACATTTGTTAATTTCTTAAATCATGTTTAAAAATATTTAAGTTTTTAGAATAAAAATAATCCCTTTCAGAGGACACCGCATGTCTCCAATGATCACTTCAAACTCTACCCCTGACACCGAAGAAGAAAGACAAGGCTCAGAGAGGAACACCCTGCTAAAGCGCCACATCGTGAAATGGACTGGTAAAGATTACATATTCCTGGTCCAGTGGATGCTAATTAAGTTCGGTCATGGGATTGAGATCTACCTGCCCGGTATCATAACCCAGCAAGTTTCTTGTGAGATGGACATTTCCCCTCTTGGCGAGTCTGTCCTGGGGGTAATTCTTTACGTTTTCATGGCTCTATCCACGTTAATCTCCATGCCCCTAGCTAAGAAGCTCGGTAATAAGTTCGTGCTCTATCTCTCACTTTACTCCTCAATTATTTTCGCTGTGGTATGTGCGATTGTTCCTAACTATTGGACACTGTTAATTTCCCGGGCACTCACTGGCATCTGTGTTGGTTTAACTGCCGCAACATCAGGGGTGTATTTCACCCAGAATGTGTCCTCTATTGAAATCGTTCCTACTGGAGCTTTTCTACAAGGATTTGCCATTGCCCTGGGAAGTACCTGGATAGGTTTTCTAGGGTGGTGTCTGCTGGATCTGATAAATTGGCGTGAGTTTATTCTGTGTACCTCAATCCCTTGGTTCATACCGCCTATAATCATACTGCACTGTAATCTAGAAAAATCGGACAGCCACGAAGAACAATTAGACACTGATTCTCGGAAAAAGGAGCATTTTAAGGAGCCTACAGACTTTAACCTACGTTTATGTAAAGGGAGTCTGTTTATTGGTCTGCTAATGGTGTTTGGGTACGGCAGTATTCTTTTAGTACCAGAACTTATGAAATCCAACAATTTCGAGAATTCTGAGAGCCCGCTAAATTCCACTATATTAGAATATGACCCCTGCCAGGGTGTGGTTCACGGAGCAGAGTATCTCGTAATAGCAGCTATTTCCGGAGGCTCACAGTTCTTTGGACGTTACTTCGGGTTTCTTCTCCGGAAGTGCTTTAAGTTCAGAGTCCTTCAGTCAGTTATAGGAGCACTCACTGCTATAAGCTGTGCGGTCGTGTTGTTCAAACCAGGCTTGTGGGTTCAATATACCTGCATGGGCATTGCTAAAATGGTTTACGGAATGCAATCCACAGAATCCCTTATCCTCCTGTTGGACGCTGAGTATTTTGGCTCGGATGGCCTAGCAGCAAGCAGCACCCTAATGTTTACAGTTGCGTATGTTGGTGGTATCGGTGGGGTGGCTCTGGCGTCCTTCCTGAACCCTTACACAACTACCTTGCTGTGTGTTGTTTCCAGTTCACTGTTGGTGTGTGTTGTTCTGTCCATGACTGGAGTACAGCACTGAATCTGTTATATGATTTGTTGAGTTTAAATATGTAGACGAGAGTCAGCACTATAATCAAAACTGATAGTTTTTTTAATTGTGAGAAATATGTATTTTTAAAAGGAGTGAAATAGATAATGAAACTGAGGGCTGAAGGTTCATTTGTTAATTGGGCTAGCCGCGATATAAAGGAAAACTCAATTTATTTACAAATCTTTATCAACAATTACCAAGTTTAATTTATTTAATAGATATGTATTTAATTAATGCACGGGGAAGTTGGTCGTTTAGCTCCGGACAGTCTATGCAACGTCTATGCAACGTCCGTGCAACAACAAAAGAACCGTCTATGCAACGTCTATGCAACGTCCCTGCACAATGAACACTCTATGCACACTCCCTGCACGGTCAGTCTATGCAACGTCTATGCAACGTCTATGCAACGTCCCTGCACAGTACCATATGAACACCGGCTACTAGCCGGCTACTAGCCGGCTAGTAGCCACTTTTGTAATAACAGCTCCTCAACTTCACATTAACAACCGGCTACTAACCGGCACTTGAAAAGTGGTCACTAGCCGGCTACTAACCGGCTACTAGCCGGCTAGTGACCACAAAGTGGCTACTAACCGGCTACTAAGCGGTCACTAGCCGGCTATTAGCCGAGCTCTAAAGCAGACCTATTAGTAGCCGGTTCTAAACCGGCTACTAGCCGGCACTTGAAAAGCGGTCACTAGCCGGCTACTAACCGGCTACTAACCGGCTAGTAACCACCAAGTGGCTACTAACCGGCTACTAACCGGTCACTAGCCGGCTCTAAAGCAGACCTATTAGTAGCCGGTTCTAAACCGGCTACTAGCCGGCACTTGAAAAGCGGTCACTCGCCGGCTACTAACCGGCTACTAACCGGCTAGTAACCACCAAGTGGCTACTAACCGGCTACTAACCGGTCACTAGCCGGCTATTAGCCGAGCTCTAAAGCAGACCTACTAGTAGCCGGTTCCAAACCGGCTACTAGCCGGCACTTAGAAAGCGGTCACTAGCCGGCTACTAACCGGCTACTAACCGGCTAGTAACCACCAAGTGGCTACTAACCGGCTACTAACCGGTCACTAGCCGGCTCTTAAGCGGACCTACTAGTAGCCGGTTCCAAACCGGCTACTATAGTACACATCGATCCGTGCTCCCTGCACTCTACACCCACAATTCGACCAAACAGACCTATCCCCACCACCAATCACCGACTTAGAACCTCTTCTACTTCAAGACCTACCCCACCCCCTCCTCCTCCCACTGTTCCAGGACTAGCTCCTCGTACCGCTGCTGCTCCTCAACCGCCTCAACCTCCAGCTCCTCAACCTCCAGCTCCTCAACCTCCAGCTCCTCAACCTCCAGCTCCTCAACCTCCAGCTCCTCAACTTCCAGCTCCTCAACCTCCAGCTCCTCAACCGGTTAGTAGCCACTTGGTGGTTACTAGCCGGTTAGTAGCCGGCTAGTAGCCGGTTTGGAACCGGCTACTAGTAGGTCTGCTTTAGAGCTCGGCTAATAGCCGGCTAGTGACCGGTTAGTAGCCGGTTAGTAGCCGGTTAGTAGCCGGCTAGCGACCGCTTTTCGAGTGCCGGCTAGTAGGTCCGCTTAAGAGCCGGCTAGTGACCGGTTAGTAGCCGGTTAGTAGCCACTTGGTGGTTACTAGCCGGTTAGTAGCCGGTTAGTAGCCGGCTAGTGACCGCTTTCTAAGTGCCGGCTAGTAGCCGGTTTGGAACCGGCTACTAGTAGGTCTGCTTTAGAGCTCGGCTAATAGCCGGCTAGTGACCGCTTAGTAGCCGGTTAGTAGCCACTTTGTGGTCACTAGCCGGCTAGTAGCCGGTTAGTAGCCGGCTAGTGACCACTTTTCAAGTGCCGGTTAGTAGCCGGTTGGTAATGTGAAGTTGAGGAGCTGTTATTACAAAAGTGGCTACTAGCCGGCTAGTAGCCGGTGTTCATATGGTACTGTGCAGGGACGTTGCATAGACGTTGCATAGACGTTGCATAGACGTTGCATAGACTGACCGTGCAGGGAGTGTGCATAGAGTGTTCATTGTGCAGGGACGTTGCATAGACGTTGCATAGACGGTTCTTTTGTTGTTGCATGGACGTTGCATGGACGTTGCATAGACTGTCCGGAGCTAAACGACCAAGTTGCCTAATGCACTGCTGATTGGAGGACTGAATGATCGTGAGTTAAAGAACTTTTTTATAAAAGAAAATCATCAGCAGTGAGGAGTGACCAATTTACTGATTTATTAATTTACAAACTCACTATTTTAACCTAGCTGATATTATGTAACTTTGATATTTGTTTCATTTAAATTTAGATCAATTTAGATCAATGATTTCATAATCTGTTTGATTGTTTTATAGTGATGTGAAGTAGGAATGATGTAACTGTATTATATTATGTCATAAATTGATAAGTAAACGTTAATTGATCAGCTGAGGATTATTTTTACTTTCACATAAGACAGCATGCTGAATTTAAAAAGTTGTGCTTTGATTGACGCTTTGATTAATTTTCAACTGTGACGAAAAGATGTTTAATGTTTATTATAAGTGATAGCTAAAGGAAGAAAAATGGCCAATGAACAAAGCTATAAGGTGGAATGGTATACTCATAGTTTATAAGGCTATAAAACAAGAATAAGGTCAAAAAGTATGAAAAGCTGGATAAAGGTTAAAACATTAATTTAAAAATTTTTAAACATTCTTCGTCTGGTCAGACAAATAAGATCAAACATACATTGCATGCATTCAGTTTAAGTTTACTGACTTAAAACTTTTCAGTGGAAAAAAATGTAGTCAACTCTGTGAAATTTGGTCCAGGAAAGTTCATCTTCAATCTTTGAAACTGGGACAAGAATAATGGACAACACCAGCTGGTGTGCGTATTTGTGAATTAGACCGGGAGGTTTCACATTGTAACACTAGGTTACGTTTTATTTTAGAGGTTACATAGCTAAACCACGTGTTTGCAGCTCGATTTATCTGCTCTACTGCTGCAAACACTTGGCAATAACTTAAGTTCGTCGAATTGCTTTCTGGTATTATCACGTGAATCTAGCGTTATAACACCATGATCGTGATCCTATAGTATGCTTACTTCGTTCCTGAAACCATTACAGCTACAGCTACACGTACACGCATCAGTGCATCACATCTGAAGTTTAAATCCTTATAACCTTAAACTTTAACACCATTGTCTAATCACAGCTCACACACTTTACATTATAAACTTATATCCAGAGAGGTGACCATGTGCTTTACAGAATGTGTTAAACTAGACATATCCGTGATAAGACGTTAAGATAGACTATACGATATTGAGAGCAGCATTATCCACCGTACTTGTTATTAGATCTCCTTGCGGTTATAACTCATGTGCTAACCTTTGTTCTTATATATATACTGCGGAATGGAACGGAGTCGACTAGCGGGCATGCGCTTTGCTATGTACAGTCACAGTAACATGTGGATGCCGGAGCAGTCGAGGTAATTGGGAGCTGCTCTTTCACATGTGTTTTTTTTTTTCGTATGTTTTTTTTTGTGCTTTTTGGTTCTTTTTTTTCAAGTTTTTTATGTGTTCTGAAGTTTTAGTGAGTTTATCATCGCTAAGCATTGTGTGAGATGTGTGAATATGAAATGAAGTTTATTGCAATCACACACAAAGTGGACAATTTAATGATTATAAAAAATGTACTCTGACCTAGATAAGTATAATAAGGGAGGATAAGGTATGTTTGATGTTTCTTTAAAAGCTTTTGATCCAACAGATTGGTCGAGGAGGGGGATGATGACAAGAAAATGATGGAAACAGCGCGAGATTTCTACAATCTAACGTAAATATTTTATTTCCTTTCCAAGTTTTCCAGTTTCCCTATTCTGTTGGCCAGCAAATATTGTTTAACAGGTCAAAAGAGGCTGCATTGAATTGTCCAGAGAAAACTGTGTAATTATAATACTGTAATATATATTATGCAGTTATCATTACTAATACTATACGTCACCGGAATTTATTTGAACAGACATTTATTGGACGGTAATACACAATTATCAATATGTCTACCCAGCTGACTTATCGAATTGCACAAAACTATAAACAAAACTATAAACAAAACTATAAACAAAACTATAAACAAAAATATAAACAAAACTATAAACAAAACTATAAACAAAACTGTGGTACAGGTCTACACAGGCTCCCTTTCACGAGCGTGGTACTGCAGTTGTGAGACCGGACGCTAGCAAAAACGTTCCTTACAATCCTAACGTGGTTTATACATCTCGTCCCGTCTTTAAATACACTTGGTAAATACACTTTGTAAATACACTTGGTAAATACACTTCGATTTAGTAAAAGTTTAGTGGATGATTTGATTCACCATGGACTTTTAATTGTAGCTTGGCATGGCGTTTTTATTTTTTCCATATGTTGGAATATTTTAGAATGTAGAAATCGGTTCTATAATTTTTTATAAATGAATATTATGACATTTAATTATTACGAATTATTATTATTATTATTATCTTGAAATTAATGAAAAAATTCCCCATGCATCAGCCCCCAAAAACCAAAGACAGTGTCCCAACGTAAAAAACATTACAACGAGATGTGGAGGAACTCTGCACCTCTAGAAGAGAACACCCCCCTAGAGAGTTTCACCGTGGGCAGATACTTCCGTGACTCCAAAGTGTGAGCTTGACAGCTGATTCAGCACATTTAGATCGAGACTTAAATAAATTACATATAACTGTAAGCTTGTAAGGAGCGTGGATACAGCTTCCCACCCAACATTTTGTCGACAAGATCTTTATTATAAATTCTTTTTCATTTCAGTGGTAAGAGTGCAGTGTCAGTTCGGGCGGTGGACGGAAGATTCATACCAACACCTCCGGTAAGATATAATCATTTTGAGATTTTATAAAATCTGTATAAATAAACAATGCAGAACAGAGTATGGGGTCGCATCATTTTATAGATTTTTATCAAAATATGTACTAAACGCTGCCTTTAAATAAAACAGACGCGAAGCAATGAGTAAACAGGTCTTTGAGCATGTCCGGTTTTGTATATATATATATACAAAACCGGACATGCTATATAAACGGACATGCTATATTATACTATATGCTTTATATACTATAGCGTGCAACAAATTGACAGCACTTAACTACAAGTACAATAATTTAAATTGGAATTATATAAAAGTGATACGACAATAAGTGCTCCTGTTTTAATATCTTAATAGTTTTCATGTTTGGTTTCTTCCTTGAATAGTGACATTATAAGACCTGTCCCAGGGCACGGGTGGAGGTAGCGCTGCAATCGCTCAGTGGTCCCGGTGGTTTGATTATTTCTGAAGTCAGAGCAAGCAGCTGATGCATACCTGCTATAGAAACTTTCTAGCTTGGAGTTGGTCAAATCCATCTGGACACTCCAGTTTGATGATCGTAATTTTTTATCAGAAAATGAGAGCAGATAAATTGTGATTGAGTGACTCAATTTTTGTTACTTTTGTTAATTGAACTACTTGGTTTTAGTGGCGTTAAAATTTTCGTAGTTGCCTTTGATATCAATGTAAGCTTACTTATAAGCACTGGTTTTGATCTCCAAATATTTTTTAATTGTTATTGTTCAAAGATAATGAGATTTCAAGACCACCACCAGGTGTTAAAAAACGTTGGTCAACCCACTTGTTTCATTTATTCGACCACACCCAATGTTGAGATTATCAAACTAACGCTGCCCATTATGGCCACTGTATGAATAGCAATGGTAAAAGGTCCCACGATATTTTACAAATACATGCAATGAAATATCATCACACTATAAACTACAATTGTATCAGATTTGATCACACCATGCATCTCACGAAATTTAAAAGTTTTAAATGCAGACACAAATAATTCAAGCAGTCTCAAATGGTGTTCCGTTATCATTGTTGCTTCATAGCTGTACGTGTCGTCAAGCAAGGTGGCGAGAGATTTAAAGAACGTTTCGTTTTACTGTTTCTTCACTACTGAAAGTTCCAGACATGCGGGAGAGCTATTTCATTGTTATGACGAATTTAGTAATGAAACGTAACGACCACGACGTCACGTGGTCGGACCACGTGACGTCTTGACGGCCCACGTGGTTTCCATGTGACATCCTGACAACCCACGTGCGGGAAATCGTGGTCGTTGATTGGCTGTTCTTCTCATCTGCTTATTGATTGGACAAGGAACTGTATATGTGGATTAGTAAGCAGAATACTGTACAATGCAAAACTCGCATAGTATATTTGCTGTATTCACAAGAAGAGATGGTGTTTGTTATTTGTGATGCATTATAAACGTTCAGCTTTGACAATAATAGTGATGATATCGATAGATTTAAAACTTCTAAAACTTCGTATTTCTTCGTATCGAATATATATTTATACGTTAAACTAATGAAGGTGCCCCTAAAACAATGTCCTATGTAATCGTGTCACAAATTCACATGATCCTGCATGATCACACGTACGGTTGCAGTTGATTGCACATCTTAACTTTAACCACTGTGAGGTTTAAATGCACTCGTTTTATCTTCCGTCGGTTTCGCAGGCTCAGCTGCTTGGATTATTGAATTAAATTCACCACAAGCACTGTTTATCGGATTTAATATATTGTGCATTGCTCGAATGCACTCGATTGACTCTTGTGAGGGATCGAAATAGTTTATGATATACAGTTAAATTTGTTGTAACCATGAGTAGACACAGCCATAATCGTGCATCGTCAGCAGCCAGTTACAAACGTTCTAGGAGAATACAACTGGTGAGGCCAATGTCGATCCTGACTACAGCCCCTATACACACTAAGATAGAACTTCAGGTAACTTTATTTTGTATTATTATAGATGTCTAACTTAACGGACATTATTTGAACGGACATTGATTGGACGCTGGAAGCCCTATAAGCGTTCAATAAAAGTATTTACTATTATCAGCCTGCAAATCATATCATCTCCTAACATCCTAACATTAATATGCAATACTTAAAAAGACAGTCACTTCAGCTCAAAGTTCAAAATGATGCTAATTACCTCTTTACCTGTTACCAGTGTTATAATCGGCCTTATATAATGATGATGATTAGAGTTAGACCCTCATGGTTAGATTATTAGAAACACCCCTAAATGTTCGTTGTTGAAAAAACCTCTTAAACTCTACATCACACCTTAAGAAGCCTCATCTGCACGCCTACACAATAATTTGAATATGCGAAACTTTAGGCACCACATGATGCAATGGTCCACCGTCAGTGCAGTCACATCAATTTAATAAGTAAAGGTCTATATGAGGTTAAACTGCCGAAACTCTTAACATTCTTTCTAAATTTGAAACTGATCAATTATATTTCATTGTGAATTAGAATGTTTTTGGTGAAAAAGTTTTAAGACTTTCAGAAAGTATTTGAGCGTGGCGCGACTAATTCACTAATTCAGAAAGTAAAATCGGGCAATATATGCAATTTTCCGTGATTTTAGCAATTTTATATCAATTTGGGCGTGTCCCCACGTGTGCAACTTTTAGATTTTCAACTTTTAAACTAGCCTAATGCACAATATACACCTATACATCTAAGTTCCCCCACTGCACCCTCAAAGTCCTCTAAGTTCCCCCACTGCATCCTCACAGTCCTCTAAGTTCCCCCACTGCATCCTCACAGTCCTCTAAGTTCCCCCACTGCATCCTCACAGTCCTTTAAGTTCTCCCACTGCATCCTCACAGTCCTCTAAGTTCCCACACTGCATCCTCACAGTCCTCTAAGTTCCCCCACTACATTCTTACAGTCCTCGATCTAAGTCCCCCCACTGCATCCTCGCAGTCCTCTAAGTTCCCCCACTGCATCCTCGCAGTCCTCTAAGTTCCCCCACTGCATCCTCACAGTCCTCTAAGTTCCCCCACTACATCCTTACAGTCCTCTAAGTTCCCCCACTGCATCCTCACAGTCCTCTAAGTTCCCCACTGCATCCTCACAGTCCTCTAAGTTCCCCCACTGCATCCTTACAGTCCTCTAAGTTCCCCCACTGCATCCTCACAGTCCTCTAAGTTCCCCCACTGCATCCTCACAGTCCTCTAAGTTCCCCCACTGCATCCTCACAGTCCTCTAAGTTCCCCCACTGCATCCTCATAGTCCTCTAAGTTCCCCCACTGCATCCTCACAGTCCTCTAAGTTCCCCCACTGCATCCTCACAGTCCTCTAAGTTACCCACTGCATCCTCACAGTCCTCTAAGTTCCCCCACTGCATCCTCACAGTCCTCACTCCTCTAAGTTCCCCCACTGCATCCTCGCAGTCCTCTAAGTTCCCCCACTGCATCCTCACAGTCCTCTAAGTTCCCCCACTGCATCCTCACAGTCCTCTAAGTTCCCCCACTGCATCCTCACAGTCCTCTAAGTTCCCCACTACATCCTCACAGTCCTCTAAGTTCCCCCACTGCATCTTCACAGTCCTCTAAGTTCCCCCACTGCATCCTCACAGTCCTCTAAGTTCCCCCGCTGCATCCTCACAGTCCTCTAAGTTCCCCCACTGCATCTTCACAGTCCTCTAAGTTCCCCCACTGCATCATCACAGTCCTCTAAGTTCCCCCACTGCATCCTCACAGTCCTCTAAGTTCCCCCACTGCATCCTCACAGTCCTCACTCCTCTAAGTTCCCCCACTGCATCCTCGCAGTCCTCTAAGTTCCCCCACTGCATCCTCACAGTCCTCTAAGTTCCCCCACTGCATCCTCGCAGTCCTCTAAGTTCCCCCACTGCATCCTCACAGTCCTCTAAGTTCCCCCACTGCATCCTCGCAGTCCTCTAAGTTCCCCCACTGCATCATCACAGTCCTCTAAGTTCCCCCACTGCATCCTCACAGTCCTCTAAGTTCCCCCACTGCATCCTCACAGTCCTCTAAGTTACCCACTGCATCCTCACAGTCCTCTAAGTTCCCCCACTGCATCCTCACAGCCCTCACAGTCCTCTAAGTTCCCCCACTGCATCCTCACAGTCCTCTAAGTTCCCCCACTGCATCCTCACAGTCCTCTAAGTTACCCACTGCATTCTCACAGTCCTCTAAGTTCCCCCACTGCATCCTCACAGTCCTCTAAGTTCCCCCACTGCATCCTCACAGTCCTCTAAGTTCCCCCACTGCATCCTCACAGTCCTTTAAGTTCCCCCACTGCATCCTCACAGTCCTCTAAGTTCCCACACTGCATCCTCACAGTCCTCTAAGTTCCCCCACTACATTCTTACAGTACTCGATCTAAGTCCCCCCACTGCATCCTCGCAGTCCTCTAAGTTCCCCCACTGCATCCTCAAAGTCCTCTAAGTTCCCCCACTGCATCCTCACAGTCCTCTAAGTTCCCCCACTACATCCTTACAGTCCTCTAAGTTCCCCCACTGCATCCTCACAGTCCTCTAAGTTCCCCACTGCATCCTCACAGTCCTCTAAGTTCCCCCACTGCATCCTTACAGTCCTCTAAGTTCCCCCACTGCATCCTCACAGTCCTCTAAGTTCCCCCACTGCATCCTCACAGTCCTCTAAGTTCCCCCACTGCATCCTCACAGTCCTCTAAGTTCCCCCACTGCATCCTCATAGTCCTCTAAGTTCCCCCACTGCATCCTCACAGTCCTCTAAGTTCCCCCACTGCATCCTCACAGTCCTCTAAGTTACCCACTGCATCCTCACAGTCCTCTAAGTTCCCCCACTGCATCCTCACAGTCCTCACTCCTCTAAGTTCCCCCACTGCATCCTCGCAGTCCTCTAAGTTCCCCCACTGCATCCTCACAGTCCTCTAAGTTCCCCCACTGCATCCTCACAGTCCTCTAAGTTCCCCCACTGCATCCTCACAGTCCTCTAAGTTCCCCACTACATCCTCACAG